TCACGATTCTCGCCTTTCCAGACCATTTTCTCTGCGGCGCGGACACGAAGCGTATTTAAAATAAGGCCAACCGCGAAGCCATGTAGTCCATGCTCGGCCCAAAAGAGAAGTCGCTGCTCTTCGCATAGTTCTATTTTGTACTAGATCTCAAATTAGCCAGTTACTGTTAATAAAGTAATATTTCATTGAATTCTGCGATTTGTTTTTTTACACTGACACTTTGCAGGTGTTCATACTACTTCACTACCTTCTTTATGTTGTTACTGAGTTTCTCAACGTTTAGTAGTTCCCTACGAGAAGTTTAAGCGCACTCTACCTTGTCCAGCTGCCATTACGACCGCAATATACGCGCCACCGCACCGCATAGGCCGGTGGCACCGCGGTACGCGTTTTCGCGCCAGGCGGGTGCTATAGTCGTGGCTGGTTTCTCAGACTACTGCCAGCAAGAGGCTTCTAACCGAATCCACGCTAGAAGTTCATTCAACGTGTCGAATCCACTGTTAGCGAAAATAAAATTTTTGATGAAGATGTGCTTCAAATTACAATGAGTGGTGTAATAGATCAAATTGTGCCAGTTTTTTCTTCACTAACCAAGCATCCAATTTTGCAAAGAATTCCGTGGAGAATACTTGATCACAATGTTTCCTTTCTATCATAACACTGTACATATAGGGTGATTTTCAACGATTTCATTGCATTATGCCCACTCTGAAGATTCCTGAATACGAGCTGAACTTAAAGGCTGTGTTGCAGCCCGGGCAGTCTTACCGGTGAGTACTACATTGATAAAGTTTCGCAAAATAAAGAGATTTCAAGCGGTGATGGCTTGGAACCGTTCCATAATCTTCAGGTGGCGCAGCAACTACGGCGTTTTCTATGGAGTTGTGGATGGAATTCTGTTGGAACTCAAACGTGTCAATTGCGATGAAATCCATTGGGAGTGCCTTGGCCGCTCTATGCGCGCTGAAGGAATTGACATTCCGGAAAAACTCCGTGAATACTTCCAGGTTTGTTCCTTCAACTGCCGCCTAAACCTACACCCGGAAAAACGGCCGGACGAGTTTTACGGGCGCAAGTCGTCCACTTCGTTGTGGGACCACGCGTCCCTTTAACTTCATTTGAATTAGGATACTTCAATAAGAGCGGTTTTTTGTGAGATTACCGCTCTTGTGCGTAATCATAGTTAATAGGCGCAGTTTATCGACGGGGGGGCATTTTGCTTTCCATAGATGTGTCGACCCATCTAGGTAGCGTTTTCTCGAGTTGACACGTTTTGGGATGGTGGCTAGACGATCCTGCTCCAGCTTTACAAGAGTTCACAAGTTTTACCAAAGTGAGATTTGCAAACCGGAACAAGGGAAGCAGTGATAGTACGAAATGCCCCCCCCCGTCGATAAACAGCGCCTAGTTAACATTC